GTGTTGCTCCCATGTAGAGGCTGCCACTTAAGCCTTCAGCGTCTAGGCTTTCGATTGGATCACGCTGAAACAAAATTTGAGGTTATGCGCAGAAAGAAACTAGTTATAGATTATACAGTGTATGATAAAATAAGAGGGGAGTCTGTCATATTCTAAACGATAGTATTTCAAAAGATTTCTTATGTGGAAGATAATAAAGGCCTGAATATCACATTTTGATCAACACGTTTTTTCATTTGACTGAGCGCACCTTACGAATTTCGTTTAACTTCATTTTTTAGTTATCATGAAAGATCATTTGTCTTCTCAATCATTGGAATAAAAATTAAATTGAGTTAGCATGACCGAGAAATCAATAAGCAACAAATATTCTGGGTGAACATTTTCCGAAGGTAAGATAATGAACGATGATATGCCCACTTTATACTGATTAAGGAGAAAAGCCTTCTTAAATATTGCTCTGGTTTTAAAAAAATGCCTATCTGACATAGTCTAAGTTAAAGTAAACATAATGAAGATTCGTGGGTACTTATAACAAAAAAAGGCCACGACTAGGAAAGAAATCATTTGGAAAAACGATTTCTAGCCTGTCATCATTAGTGGCATTGGAAATTAATTACACGGGCAACCTCTCCCTTACAATTAAGGAAACACTTTTCGGCACTCAGAAAATGAGCGCACAGTGAACCAATGAGATTTAAGAACCTAAAATCTTTTAAAAAAAATCAAAACCACTTCCAATTAATGCATCGATGGATTATTGACAAAACTTCATAGCATAAATCAATATTTCGGATATGGCAGTTCATAAAAGAATATTTGAACTTTATAAAGAAAATCATACTTCTTTGCAAGGGAAATGTAAATTTGGTAAAATAATTTCAATATTGCCAACAGGATTAAAATGAATACCAATTGAAATTAGGTCTTACTGGGATTGCCTTTCGATCGAGGCTCTCTGGTCTCGCAGAACCAATCTCTTCAGCCGCATTGGGACTGAGGAACACCCTCTCATCAAAATCCCCTGTTCCAAGAATATACTCCTCATAATGGTCAGTGAGACGCTGCAAAATACCAGCAAAATTCTCCGGCTGCAGAATACCCTCTGGTCCAGGTGGGTGTAATTTGATAAAATCCTTCTCAATCAACCTCACAACGTAGGGGCGAAAGAAGTTCTCTTTAATAGCCTTACATTCTACGTAATTGATACCACTATCCTCACAGATGTACCTCAACATACAAGGCAAGGAATCGACCGAAGATGAAGATAGGTTGAGTATTGAGGAGTGACTTAATGGGCCATTTCCACTCCGGGGATCGATACGATAATGAATATTGATGAGTCGAGTAGCTCGGGCCAGAATGAGGACACCCAACATCCAGTCCATGCAACAGGCGAGAATGTAGTATGAATTTACGAGGTCGTCGGCAATAGCTGGAAAATTGGCCCGAGTTTTAACAAAAAGCAACCAAATAAAACGAAATATATCCACAGGAGTGAGTTGGGAATGGGGATCTACAAGAGAAGGAAGAACATAAAAGAACATCGACATATTCATTCCCCAATTTTTACGTCTTAATCATGATTTTTTTAAGATAACACAAAGAGTGAATTTTTGCAATTTATGAAGCTATAGTTACTTAGAGATGGCCTATTTTAGAGATAAAAAAGTAACAAACCAGATAAAGTTACTCAAGACCGTAGTGGCGTGTTAAAGTTGACAAAAATTCTCTCAAAGCCAGTGGACAAAACGTTATTGAATATTCAACGCGGAAGATATTTCAACTTTGATAAGAAACAATAAGATATTGGGAATGGGACAACGGGTGAAAACAAACGAATATGCTTGTCGAAAATAGACTAGATAACGGAAATTTTGAAACGTTCAGAAAAAAACACTAAAAGAAATATCGATTGCACAGAAGCTTAGAAGTAAAAAACTATTTTTTTGCAAAATAACAAACCCGATCATTATGATAAACCAACCATAACAATCCCTCAAAAGCAACTGAATGTCCATTACAATTTCGAACCAATCGTCTAACTGATAAAAAACGAAAAAATACGGAAAACAGCAGATATTGATTTGGAGTGGGGCAACAAATTGATAACAAGATCACAAATGCGTATGCAGAAAATTAAAAAAAACAGGGCCCATGAAGATTTAGAAATAAAGGATTATTAAAGAAACTAACCCAAATCGGGTTCATCAGTTTCTTCAACGCCACCATCGAGGCTCCGGAAGTAGAGAGGGAAGTCCTTTGAGAAGTGTCTAAATGTCACTGAGGAGACAGCAAACTGCCTTTCCAGTCGCTCAATTCGATCATGAGCATCATCTGACATTTCCGTCATGTCGGCCCACTTCCGAATACGGTGAAAGAACTGCACTAGACTCATTTTTGCGGTGGCTAGAAGGCGAGTAAGTGAGACGTAGGCATTTTCGAGGACAACGATTTGACCGGACACACTGTCTGCAGTACTTGGACGCCGACAACACTCATACAAGGAGCATACCAGCCATTGAAGCTGATCTCCCTCAATCGAATAATTGTTCCAAACTTCTATAACCATAACAAAGCATCAAAAGCAACGCTGACATTCTGCTTAATCCTTAAGAGCGCAGATATTCAGAAGCAAAACTCGTAAAACATCGTGTGTCATTTAAAATGTATTAGCGCTTATCAAAGTACACTTTAAAATATCTAAAATATTTTTAATAACTAGCGTAAGTCGTTGGAGACTAACTTTTCGATTGTTCATGTAATTATTTGACGCACCTTTGTATTTATCCCATGCTTCTTCACGAACAGGGCCTTCGATACACAAAATTTGACACAAATCTTCGAATCTCTTTTCTATAGGCTCATCTTCGTCATATAAATGCATGATTATCTACAGTATCGCAATTTGTTCACGATTACGAATTGGCGCGAAAGGCCAACATTTAAAAGACACCTTGTTGGATTTTTAAATTGCTGAAAGTTTTTAATGAAAGCTTATAGTTAGGTACAGTTTGAAGAAAAAAATAAAATAAATATTACTCTTTCAAAAACATAATGTTTAGATTTTTTACCATATATTTAGGATATTTCTTTGTTCGTTTCGACAAAGGTAAATTCAAAGCAGCAATTATATATTTCATCTTCCCTAATTTCATCCAGATATTTTATGAATGACACTGGCGGATAAAGATGTAATTATCTACGTTTCAAAACCTGCTATATTTATTAATTTCTAGGAAATGGTAAACTTTATTATAGTTATCAGCAGTCATTTAGTTGACTCCGGTCTTCTCATAAGTGAGAAGCATCATGATCTCAAAAATGTGAGAAGGGGAACAGTCGAGTGTTTCACTGATGTTTTAGTGACAAACACAGAGGTAGAGAAAATGGTATGATGAATATTGGGGTAGTGGTCGAGTATGACACACGAAAGCGAATAATGGTTATTTTAAAACAGAAGTCAACTGCTTTCTTGTACACCTTTTTACAATTTGAGCTTAAGTTGCCCAAGGTGCACCATGTAATATTAGTGATATCAAATTTAATTTAAGAATATTATAACGACAAGATACTTTTGATCTTGAAATAACTTATTTGATGTACACGTACATTTAGTACATTGTATATTATTATATAGTAGGTTATACTACTCATTATATAATGCCCAATACCATTCTTTGTAAGCTGCTTCGTCCAATCAAATTCATTTAAATGAATCTTAGTGAAATATAAAATTATGTTGGCGCACTGTTTTGTGGGTCTAAAGTTACCATTTGGTACAAACCCCTTGAAATCTTTTATACAACTGTTATAAATATTTTTGCTCAATAAATCTGTGAATGAATGTTCAGTCAAAAAATTATCTTGCTACGGAGATAAAATCATCATGCAGCAAAGCAGATCAGATTAGTTACGAAAATGTGTTTGGCTTTCGAATTTAAAGGTATTTTCTCTTCTAAATGTCTTTTAATGGATTCTAAAAAATCATCATTCAAAGCACCATGATTGCAAGCACTCGATAAATATATTATCATTAAGGTAACAATACATGACCATCGATTATAATACTATAAATACGAGTCCATATTCCATTATTATATAAAGGAAATTTTATGGATATCAAATCAAGAAATAAAGTATTGAGGTAAACCGGATACTACTATAATTTCTAACTTGGTATATATTGAATCCACTTATTCATCATTCTAAAGGATTGTGGGACACGCCATCGCATGCCTGAACTCCAGGTTGGGGGGGGGGGGGGGGGGGTTGCGACCGGAAAAACAGTGACCAATCATTAACCTCAGTTTGTTTATAGCTGTTCTATGGCTTAGCTGGTTCTGGGAGTCTGGCTAGATTTAATTGATTCTGCCACAGTGATTCCTGAGTCAGTCGGACTTTACTAGCGTAGCAATCCGCTACAGGATATATAAATCCAAAAGTCTATTGGTCATTGGAAAATTATGTGAAACAGGACCAATTTGAGATATCTATAGTTTCTTTAAATGTCTTACCATGTCACGATTCAAAACTGCGGCCTGACCAGACGCATGAAATGACGTTCAATTTGTTTAAAGGTTAACGGCATGTCCACGAATTTTGAGGTCACGAGGTTAGGGCTAATTGGATGTTTAAGTCTGACCCGCAAGAATAGTGAAAAATGCGATTTCTGTATTAGATAGGCTTTAGTTTTCTTAAAAATATTTTCGTTTGATCTGCTCAATTTTTAAAGCGTAATGGGACATTTTCCATTCCACTATAATCTGCTGTTTAATATCATGTCGGTAAACATTTGGTTTTAAATATGATTTTTAAAATTTAAACACGCGATGCTTTAAATGGTATTTTAATGTGGAATAATTAATAATGATGCCGTGGTTTTAAAATTAGACAAAGCAGTCTACGCGATTACATATTAATGTTTCATTTTCATCGATTCATCAGATATCATAAAACGGATTATATAAGGACAAAGTAAATTAGTTAAAGCATGTTTTACATAATTTCGCTCGATTATATTAGAACTTGGAAAAAAGTGAATGAATAATTTGTATTGATTGTATGTGAATGCGTGTAGAAGCATGAATTAAGGATGGGTTTTCGCAAGGTAATGCCACGAATGGAATGGGAAGCACATGTACCGTTTTAAAGGCCGGATAACCTGATGACTACTGAAATGGGCCAAGGTGTGTGTGTGTATGCTTAGTCAGAGGTCACGAGATTAAATATTTCTTATTCAGTGCAAGTGTTGGGAAAGCGCTCTGGTTATTTCTAGTTCATACAGGGATGAAAAAATGGAAACGCATACAACGCCAATTTTTATATACGCTCTCCCTTAATGGACTAGGGAAGTTTCACATCTGGTATGTTAAAGAATGCACGCGATTTCTAGTAATTTAATCAATATTTCGAATGGTACAACATCAGCTATGGAAAATCTGATATTCTTTTTCATTTTAGTAGGGTTTAATTATTCATCGATGACATTCATAGCCGTAAAGAACTGTAAATGCTACTTTGCAGAAGATAAAACAGAAACAATTGCTTGGTGTCAGTTTCATTGAATGTCCCCCTAAGACTTGAAGTAGGTAGCACTTAAATTAACCAAATCCAAAGATGATCTTACCAGGTCAAAATTAAAATTGGTGTGAAACTACTCAATCGGTAAGGATTAATCCCTAAAACAATAAATTTACTGCTGACACGATGACCCTAAACTAGCACAATTAAATTAATCACATAATCCACTAAAGTACCCATTTGCAGGGAAAGATCCAGTGAAGTATTTACTTACTTCTTCATCGATTTCAGCAAAACTAACATTGTTACACTATAGCAGAATGTGGCCTATTGACATTTTGTTTCTAAGTCCACATTCGCACTGAGAAAATGGGCAATGCAAGTAAGGCAAGTGTTGAAAAGTGTCAAAACAGGAAATTTAAGGCAAACCCCCCCCCCCCCCCCCCTACAATATTATCAACATGCAGGTTTCGTGCTTACGCTTCTATTTGCATTCAACTAATTAGAACTGGTTTTTTTGACGCGATTACGAAAATGCTTGTGGATGTCAACACTGCCTTTTTTTCTCTTTTCTTTCTGTGAAAAGTATCATTTTTAATTAATTTCAAGTCAAGAGTTTCATCTTCTTCTTCTCGGAACCGCATTCCTTTAAGCAATTCATTATTTTGAATGAAAAAGTATTTACTTTTCACGATCAGAAGATGCAAAAATATTTGCAGCATCATGTTGTCATGCGGTTTTTATTTATCAACAAAATCTTTGAAACATTTTGCAGGGCCACCTACTTTGTTAAATATTTATTTATTTGTTTAAATGGTAGGTGTTTTGATAGCTATCGTTAGTCCTTTAGCTGAATTCGGGCTTCATAGAGAGGAGAAAGTGACAAAAAGACGAGAGGGGGACAGAATAATGATTCACAGATTTAAAGGAGACAGGCAGATACAAAGGCAGAGAAAAGGGGAGATAAGAACCGTGGAAGGGGTCGAATTTGCCATACAGTGGGGGGTGATGGCAGTTTGAAGTCAGAAGTCAACTGCCGAATAAT